GTCCCCCAGTTTGTGGCCACTGCCCCTAGTCCTGTCACCAGACACACTGAGCAGAGCCTGGCCCCATCTTCCTGACACCCACCCTTTAGATATTTATAAGCATTAATAAGATCCCCCCTCAGCCTCCTCTTCTCCAGGCTAAACACCCCCAGCTCCCTGAGCCTCTCCTCATACGACAGGCGTTTCAGGCCCTTGATCATCTTAGTAGCCCTGTGCTGGACCCTCTCCAAAAGTTCTTTGTCCCTCTTGAACTGAGGAGCCCAGAACTGCACGCGGTATTCCAGGCTCCACTTCATTAGCACCACCACTAAGCCAGCAGAAAATGAGCTTTAAACTAAGCAGTGCACTTTTATACCCTGGCTTTTTGTTTGCATTTATCAGGAAACAAATTTCCTTGCACACCAGCCAAGCCTTTCCCCAGCTGCCCTGTCACACCTCCGGGCTGAGCCGACTCACCGGCACCGAGCAGTAACTGTGGTTCACCTTCACGGCGATGTTCGGAGGGTACTGATCCTCCTGAGGAGAACTAGTGTCTGTGTAACAGATCCTGCAAAGAAACCACACGTCTCTCAACATCCCCACTGCACACACCAGCAGCCAGCCATCACCACTCCAACCCATGCTCCCTCATCTGGCCACAGCAAAGCCGGTCCCACGTGGCTCCCCCGGGTTGATGCAGCACCAATTCCAGCAGTACGTGTAGGAACAGGCTCAAAAGTGGAGTTTAAGATGCTTGTGTGAGGCAGGTAAAAGAACAATTGACTCAAAGTTTGTGGCTATAAAAACCACGCTGAAAGTTGGTGTTTTTTTGGTGGTGAGTTCCCTCCTCCCCTGGTGAGCACCTGGTGGTGAATCAGCCCCGTGCCCAGACGTACCTTAGCACAACCTGAACCGATTTCACACCCGGCTGTAACTCCCTAGTAAATTAAAGAAGAAACAAAAACTTCAGATTAAGTATGTGAAAAAAAATAAAAGCAAAACAAACCCTCACAACCACCCCAAGAACAACCCAAATCAGCTGTTGCTTTTGCTACACTCCAGACTTTTAGTACTTTTTTTAATACAGACCCTTACAGAATTACTCACAGAATTTTATTTAAATTGTACAATCCCCCCCATAAATATCAGTGGTCTTGTGATTCATTTTTTATCATCAAGCACCATCCTACAGCCTTTCTCTGGCTTTTCAAAACTGTAAAGGTGTTGGGTGGCAGGTATCAATACACCTGGCATCCTGAGTGATCATTCCAGACTCTCATTGAGACTCTTGCTATGAAATATTTCTCACTGACGGTGGAAGTTTTCTCACAAATCTGAATATATGGAGAAAAGAAGCATCAAGAATCAGCTACAGCACGTGTAGTCTTTTATCACCCTTAAAGACTTCCGTGGTTTATCATTTCCTTTCTGTTAAGTCTTCCAACAGCTTCCCCTGCACTGCTTCTGTTGACCTACTGAGATCACAACAGTAATCAAGCACTGGACACTCAGGAAATATCATCTTTCTCAGACTCTACAATTACAGTACATTTTTATCATAAAGAGAAACATTTAAAGGTTTTACACTTAGTTTTGGAGGACCCTCTTCTGCATCATTGTCCTTCTCTGTGGCAGCAAGGACCAAGGGAGCAGGTCAGCAGAGGAGGAACCCTGCCTGCCTGCCCTGACAGCTCTCGGGCCTTTCATTGTTTGAATCAAAAGCTGCCTCAGGACAGAGGTCAGGGTAAATCCTAATCAGTGCAAGATGGTTTCTGAGGCAGTTACTCCAGCGTCCTTCACAAGAAGGAAGTTTGCTTTCAGATGCAAACGGCGTTACACGTCCAGCTTTTGAACTCTGCACACCAAGGAAAATCTGCAAACATTCACCACAGGAGCTCCACACAGAACTCAGGGCAGCAGCAACTCCACAGGGCTTTGCCTGCCCCAATGGACTATTCAGAAGCAAGATCAGAGGAGCAGAAGCAAAACTTAGGGACTTGGATAGGTAAAATTGTACCTCCCCCCTCCCCCCAGGCTATTTACTTTAGGTGAGAGGTAGCCTGACTGCTCCTGCTCTCAAAGAAACTGTTTCCTCCCAGAGAACAAAACCTTCCACAGAGAGGGAACACGGTGGAGACGTACAGCTACATTTTCTAGAACTGCTAACACCCAAGGAGGAGTACCTGGAATTTCGGATCAGCTCCACTTGTCTTGGTGTCAATGCAAAAATGCAGGGACTTTCCTGAAGCTTCTCATTATTCTGTGGAACTGAAGGAGAAACAAAGAGTCTGTACATCAAATTGATCATACCAAGCTCTTCCTACCTTGCTAAGGACAAGGTGGATTTTTAATGTTCTGAGATATGTTCACTACCAAGTCCTGTTTTCTCTGCTGTGGATTACAGCACTGCTCCTTTATTGCCTGCTTGTTTTGCTGGCCAGCACACTAAGAGTACAGCCTGGATTTAGACCTGCTTTTATTTTTTTCATTTTGCTCCTCTCAACTCATTCACTGAGCTGACAATCCTGGGTTCCTATCAGAACAAACCATAAGTGGTGTCACAGCGTGGAGACAAGACCTGAAAGAAGCCTAAGAGGAGATCTAGGCATGACATGAAAGCCTGACACCACCAGCCTGATTCTGGAAAAGAAACCAAGCAGCAACAACAACAAAGATCAGCTCAGATAATAAAAAAAAAAGCATCACACAAAGCAGCTGTAAGAGAGAAAACCTGACTTACAAACACACGACCTTGAGGGTGTTCCAGCAGCCCACTCTGAGAGACACTGAACTGAGAACTCAGCATTAACTGTTTTTTTTATCTGTTCACAATTTTAAGAGCAAATGCACTCAACGTGGTTCAGCCTGAGATGTGGAAAACTTGGGTCACAACTTCCAGGTAGTACCTTTTATTCAATCCAAGCATGTGAAGTTTTATTGTCAGCACACGTTTCCAGCTCAAGTCAGGGCCCTGAGCTGGTGAAAGTCACAGGAGAAACACAAAGAGCAGGAAAAGGATAAAACAGCTTTAATTTTCTTTTTTAGCAAGAATTGGGTGTTTTTCTTTGCATCACTTCAATTTCTAGTTTCTTCAAAGCCAACGTACCAGAATTTGAGAAGGGGGGAGAGTGATTTACTGTCTATGGATGAGATGAGAGAAGGATCAAACCTCAGCAGCTCTAAGATCTTGGAAGACACGGTGACAACTTGATTCACTGACTACTGATACTTCCTTTTTGTCATTCAGCTTGAAAAATGCAAAAAGGGCTTTCAGTGGAAAAAAAATAAATAAAATTGAAGCTATCTTTATGGATTTTTAATTCAATTCTAGTTTCCATCCCAGTGTCTCTTGACCAAGACAACCAGGGAGAAGTAAACTCATTTCATGACTGTTATTTTTAAGAAGTGATGAATGATAAAAACAACAACAAAAAATCATTTTAATATTGCTGCTTAAAGAACTGTTGATAAACACACAGTCCTCTGAGCTACAGGAAGACAAAGCAAATCTTATGAGGAAAACTGACAGTCCATGTTTAACTCTGTGTCTATGTCCCAACTAGAGCAGGTTGCTCAGAGCTTGGTCCAACCTCCCCTGGAATGGTTCCAGGGATGGGGCAGTGACCACCTCTCTGGGCAGCCTGGGCCAGGGGCTCACCACCCTCAGTGGAACAGTCCCTAGCTGAGCCTACAGCTACTTGGTCAACAACTCTCCTCTCAGTGCATGAAGAGAAGTGAGCAGCAGCAGCAGCAGCACCTGCTCCCAGTGTTCTTTATGTCTTGCTGTGAAAGATCCTTCTCCAAGCAGGAATCCAGGAGAACTCCTCAGCTGTGTTCACAGAAAGCTGCTGGAGAGTTCCACAGAGGCCTCCAACAGGACCTGGACAAAAATAAGCTGAAGGGAAACCAAAACTCAAAGAGATTGGGACTCAGGATGTGCCCATGCACAACCTGCTGCCAACAGCAACCAGAACTGGATGCTCTGCAGGAAAGCATGAGAGAACATGCCCTGAAAGACCAGCAGAAAAACCTCTCCAGAACAGACCAGTGTAAAGACCCAGTTCTCCTCCACAACCTTAATGCTGGGGAAACAAGCCCAAACTGCAGGAGTTTCACTTTCAGGGGACCTCTTCAGCTACTCATTTCTTTGCTGAGCAGCTAGACAAAAATTCACAGTTTTTTAAAGCTAAATATTTGAAGATAACTGAGTTTCATCCCTTTTCCAGGAGAAATGCCTCAGGACACAACTCAGCTCCTTGGCTTGTAGAATGGCTGTGGGGATCAATTCATTTTAACAGTTGGCAATAGCAGGAAATCAATTTTTAAGACTGAACTTGACCAGCAGTCCTCAGAATGAGTCAAGATATAAAACTTCCAAAATCCCCAAGGACTTGGCAAACTGTATTCAAGACTTTAGCCCAATGGAATTGCTGTGGATCCCCATCTGGAGAAGCCAACCTCCTCTGCAGCACTCACCAGCAGGCTAGACCATGCCATGGAAAATAAGGACTATATCCACCTCAGGGTTTTGGGGGTTCCCTGCAACACAGGTGGTTGGTTTTTTTTAAAAAAACCATAACATTCCCCACTATTATAGTTAATGGCCAAGCTCAGTAAAGTCTCTGTGAGAGATTGTACTGTCATCACCCTGGGGGGAGATCCCAAAGGTAGATCAGCCAGACTGAGCTGGTGGCAGGAGGCTCCTCAGGGCTGAGGAGCTGGTGCTTGAGTCCTCACTCCCATCCCCATGCCTCCAGAACAGCTCCTCTCAGAGCACAATCTACAGGGGGATTTTTTTGACTCCTTGCTTATCAGAACTACCCTGAGTAGTCTGAAGAACATTCATGTGGGTTTGGGAGATGGGGCAAGCTGATTGCTATGACATCTGTTGCTGCTGTAAGTGTCAAAAGCTCTCATTTTAGGGTAAACCATCACTTGTTTGGGTGGGTATCTCAACAGCACGAGCACGTGCTTCTGCTGGGACCCCTTCGAGACCACCCAGCACCAAGGTGTTTGTTTGCTCTGCAGGCAGCAGCCTCGACCATGAAATCAGTGGCCCTGTTTACAACAATTCCAGTCTGGCTTCTGAGGAGGGGCTAGAGCAGCAGATTTACTACTTACACCTGAGAAGAGCAAGGCCAGTGGCAAGGCAGGTGTTATCAGAGGGAAAACCCAAACAAATCCTGTTCACACGGGTGGCAGCAGGACCTCCCAGCCTACATGTCCTCCTGCTCCCACAGCTGCACCACACCATCTCCTCTGGCCTGGCTCCAGAAGAGCAGCAGCCTGGGGATCTGCAGCTCCAGAGCACAGGCTGTCACAGCTAAGGTTTGGAACAAAACAAGCATTCAGAATCCCTTGCAGCACCCTACTGCCCTCAAAAAACCTCTATTCGCCCTGTTTCACCCCAAAAGGTGCCAGAGGGTGAGCACACTTATCAGCAAGGTGCTCAGGAAAATACTCCCCTTGTTACCTACTTGAAAACACCAGGCAGGAAAGGTGTTAGTATTCCTGCCCTCCAAAAAGGGATCTCATCAATCTTCATTTCAAGCCTTATCTACCCATGAGAATTGCAGCGATTTCAGTAAATTAGGAGAATTCTTTCCTGTTGACATCTTTAAACCAAACCAGAAAGCTTGGGCAAGAAGTGTAATAGTGGGGAAGGTTAGGTTTAAAAAAAAAAAAAAAGGCTTCACAGAGATGCTAAACTCAGTACTTAAATTGCCTGAAATTGCCTGTGCAGTTACCAAATGAGGTATTAGCTGGTTCACAACGGACCCAATTTATCTGCTTTTAGCTGAACCACCTTTGTCTACAAGTCTAACAGTAATTTGATAGTTCTTCAGGGACTCTGCTCGCCTACAGATCAAATCAGGCATCGCCCACCTCACCTTTGATCTCCAGGCAATCATCTCAAAGAGGCAGGAGAGCCTTTTCATTAAGAAAGAGGCTTCCAGTTGAAGTCTGGAACCCATAAATTAAGCTTCTCCTACTCCCACCACGGCTATAGGCTTAAAACACCCCTTTTGTAGCCTAGGGAAATGGGGTACTGCACCAGCAGCTGGTGTTTCTAAATGGATCTGAGACCTTAAATCTTTCAGGTATTTCCAAGTTGAGAGTTTGTGAGGTTGACAAGAGGTTACGTTTGATCCACACACAGAATGGGAAATCTGGGCAACAAAGCATGAACTGGTGCAGCTCCCACATGGCAAATCACTCCATTTCCCCCACATCACCTCGTGTTATCATCCTGCCCTGCTCAGCAGAGCCCCAAACAAGCACCACTTTTAATGCTGGAGTTATTCCAGCACCTGGTTGCTGAGGTAGGAGCAGCTGATAGCCACGTGGTGTTGAAATAACCCCAGTTTTACAGAGAAACAAACACCTCTGTAGGCACATCAGGAGAAGGAATTACAGTCGCAGGTCACCAGCTTGGGAAAATTCACCAAGTGTCTTGAAGATGTTGTTGGGTTCTGAGCAGCAGGCTGGGACAATGGAGACTGAACATCTGTTCATCCCCAGCTACTACTGGTGGGGCACCAGCCCCCCACTGCTAGGCAGAAACCACTCTCATCAAGAGGGGAAATCAGTCAAATATGCTCTAGGGAACAAGCTGACCCGGGGGAGGTGTCAGCTAACAGAGGTGAGATACTCAGTTTAATGAGACCTCAGTTCTGATCTGATGTAGAAGATTTAGTGTCAAGTTTTAACAAAAGCTGTTAATCACAGGGAGTAGATCCAGGCTCTTCTCCTCTTCTCTGGATGTCTCCACCTCTTGAAAAATCTGTTTTCCTTCCAAAGATGACATTTGTGTTTCTGACTAACAAATGCCACCCTGCATTGGAGACTGAACCAGCTCATTCTCAAACAGCATTTAAAAAATGTTAGTTTTTCCCTGGCAGATCACCCCCTCAACCACTTCAATGGTCACAGCATTAACACATTTAATGCCTCCAAAGGAAGATGAAAATTACGTAAAGTCTGATGAATTAGTCCTTTTTTTAGCACCTGCACTACCATAGCTTCAATTTTTTGTTCCCCCTCTCCAATCCACATGCATTTTTTCAGCATTTCCATCTACCAAGCACTTTTCCAGCACAGAGCAGCTTCCCAAGTTCCAGGTTCATCCAGAATCCAAGCCTGTTGTCACCACGCTGACCTGATATGACACTGCAGCTCAGCACCCTGCAACAGCATTTCTCCTCTGCACACACCACCTTCCTTACAAGAATATTGTATTTAACACCTCTGACAATCATTTTTTATTTCTCAAAATGAAAATAATGAAAAATTAGACCTCACAGCCCCAGGGTGGGAAAAAGCCCTTTTTCCAGCATCCCCTCAAAATACACAGCACCATGCACAAAGAGCTGTGACAAGCACAAAAAGAGTCAGAAATACTGTGTGATGCATGTACCACCCTCGTTCACCCACTGGAGGGTTAGGGTCAAGTATTTTAAGAACTGAAAAATAGTATTAAGGTAGAATAGGCAGCACTCTCACTTAGTACAGAAAGATTTTCATCAATATATCCCCAAATCAGGGCGATGGAGGACAGGCTGTGAGTCACAGCAAGACTGCAACAGGCACCACAGCAGCATTTCCAGGGAAGGCTACAGCCCAACAAGAAGGGCTTTCAAATTACACCTCAAAGTGACCATGTTCTGGTTCGAAGGCAATGGAAACCAAACCAAACCAACCAAACAAAACAGATGTAAATACTCTTGACTAAATTCTGAGGGGGAGAGAGGGAAGTGCAAGGCACCCACTGCTGTATTCATCAGCCTCTCCTCTGTCACACGACCTCACAGAGCCTCAAAACCACCGCTGCCTTTTTGACACCCCAACTCATTTCACCTTCTCTCCCCTCCCCAGGGAACTCCCCAACCTCCTCCCAACCCCCCCCCTCCACCTCTACCGACTTCACCCAGACCCCTCCAACCCCTCGGGGAACCCACCTAATTCCGTGGGCTTCAGCAGCTCGTCCAAAGTGGTGTAGAAGGGAAGTTTGACCAGTCGAACTTCGGGCTTGGCAGCTTTGGGGGGCAGCCTCCCGAGGCCGTTCAGGTACTTCCCGTAGAGCGCGGGGTAGTCGATGGTGGTGGGGGTGGGGAGGGGAGTCCGGGGGCCGGCGCCGGCGCGGTCGTAGGAGGGGTGCATGGGGAGAGGAGCCTCCCCAGAGCGCTGCTGCTGAGGCGCCGCCTCCGAGCTCTTCTTGGCGTAACGAGTCTCATAGAGCTCCTTGATTTTCTTGAAAACTTCGGGGCTGCAGTCAAATTGGACCAACTGTAATGCTCGGGTGACTAGTTCATGTTTAAGTCCGCTTTTACTCCTGCCAACAAAACCCAGCAACATCTGAAGATCTGAGACTCGGAAACTCATCACCATGTTCTAGGGGATAGAAAATTAAAAATGTTCTTACAGTTGTAAGAAGGCAAAGCGTCAGGTCGTACTGAAGAACTGGAATCCAAAACACATACCAGACCCCTAAATGCACACCACTGGACCCCCTCAATACTAAAAACCCCTCCCTCGTCAGGTTGTACCCAACCCTCCAACCCTTATTCACCCCATTAGCATCTCATTTCTCAGGTAGTTCTTTCAGCAACGCAAAAGAGCCCCTCAGATGAAAGGTTCCCTGAATCAGACACGCCCCACAACAGGCATCGGGTTACTACAGAATAATTTCTGATAAGTGATAAGGATCCTGAGGGCAGCTGGGCTGGAAGTAAGAGGAAGCTATCCCTGATGGCAGGGTGAAAGAGCACATCAGCTCCTCCACCTCTGGGCTCAGAGCACCCACACTTCCCAAGCACCTCTGGGTAAGAGAGCAACATTATAAACTTCATATAAAACAGCGTTAGCAGCAGGAAGAAAACAGACATGAAGTGGAAGGCAAACAACATTTAAGAGAATTGGGGTCACCACTCCTTTTTGACTGCATTTCAATGTACGTGTGTGTTACCTGTACAAGAGCAAATCCTTCCAGGACCTTTCTATCATATCCAGGCCCATGGATTTCAGACCACAGAAAAACATGCCACGGCTCCCCGTGGAAGCGATACGTTCCCATGAGAACAAAGCCTCCCAGCTCTGTTTGGGTGCTGTGCCAAGCACTCCCCCGTCATCCCAGCCAGGAGCTGCTGCTGGTAATATTCATTTCAGGGGTTTGATAAGCAGCAAAAAAACCTCTGTCTTCAAAAACACCCTCTCCTGCTGCTGCAGAAACTCAGCAGGCCAGTAGCTGTCAGCAGATGCAAGGAGCATATTATGCTACAGGGCAACTTTCCCTCCAACTTAGAATTAGAAATTATTTATGTTAAAGCTACTCCAGAGCCTGGGCAGGTTGAGGTTTCAGTTCTCTCTCAGGGCAAAGCCACCTTAGGAATGCCCCAGACAAGGTTATCAAGCCCATGGTTTTGAGAATTCAAGTTGTCCTGAAAATATACTCGATAGGTACCCACACGAATTCACTTGACATTCTTCCCAGGTTGTGGAAAACACAGGAACTCAAAAAGAAACCTCAGCTTTCCAGGGTAAGAAAACCCAGCACATTTCTTTTCCCCAATCTATACTCTTACTTGAAGATTAAATAATAACAAAAAGTATAAAAGTCAGATTTCTATGAAAATCTGTTCTATCTATTCTTATTTCTTTCTACAGAAGCTAAAGGCAGCCTTGTAATTTCCTGGAATAAAACATCTATGGGTTTATTTATTTGAAAAATTAGCTTTAAATTAAGAAAGCTCCAGAAACATTTAACAGCCACTTTTGCACATGCAGGAATTAGACCATAGAGAAAAATGTCATTTTATTTTCTCCTTTTTCATGAAACCTGACATTGAATCTAGAAGCCCAAAAGACGTTGCACAAACTGCAGTTAAAATTTTTGGCAGTCGTGATCAAAATATTTTTGATAAGAGAAAAAAAAATGGGCAGGTAACTTGAAAGAGGAGAGGAGGGATGTTTAATTGCCAGCAAGTCAGGATCTGAGAGCTCTGTGCTTGTCTTGCTGCTTCCCTCAGATCCTGGGGAAATCCAGTTCCTGCGTCTCACTCTTCTCCAAGTACAAAATGGAGAGCACGTTGTCCTCTCTGAGGTGTTTTGGGGAGACATGGGACGTTTGCAGAGATAAATACACCAAGGTGGTGACCCAGGGCAGCAGCACAGGGCCAGGGCAGCGACCTGAGTGTGGCACACGGGTGTCCCCACACCCACAGCTCCTTCACCACCCCCCACCTGGGAGTTTGGGTGTGTGAAGCAGTGTTTGAGCTGCCCACCTTGCCAAGTTCTCATTCAGGAGGCAAGATTTGAGCAGAAATAGCAAAACAAGCTCCAGACAAAATAAAACCAGTCACTAAGGCTTGGGCCTGCTCGACAATACGAGCAGTAGAAAGATCACTGCTGACTCCTGAGGTTGTTAAAGCTCAAGCCTGCTCCTCCACCCGAGGAAGTCTAGGATGTGAGTGGCACAGAGCCTGTCCCACACCCGCTGTGGGGGCAACCACAGCACCTCCAAAGCACATCTCCTCCTGTGGAGCCCCTCACGCCGAGAGGGGCCCAAGAGCAGGCACAGGGCAGCACTCCCAACACAAGCCTCTTC